ATAAAACATAAAAAATTTCATGTCATTATTTATGTTAGTTCAATAGATGAAAAGGAATAATTAAAACTTTGATGAAATTTCGGATGATTAATTGATACAAATAAAATCTTAGGAAAGAGATTGAGAAATCCCTCAAATCTCATGGAAGCAAATTAAAATTTATCATTTTTGTTGATATTACGATTAGTCAAGTATACTTATACCGGCTTTTGCATCAATCGAGAATAGACTCACTTAACGCTAGATCATGTCTACTCTTGAATCGATTCTAAAAACTAAAAAAATTTTAGTCCACTAGCAAAAGAAACATATCATCTTATTTAATCATAAGTGTTTATTTAATCAAATTACCAATTTTCTCAACATACACATACATCTTTTGTTTTTTCTTTTTTTGCCTAGAGCTCTCGAGATTTATTTTTGAATAAATTACAATATCACTCATGAGGTATCATGAAATTACATAAACCATCCAAAAATTCGATAATTTGATAATATACTCAAAATGACTTGAATTAATATTTAGAAAAAATATTATTTAAATTAAGAAATTTTAAAAATTAAATAAATAATATCATAAAGAAAACTCAAAATGAAATTGGATGAAATTAATATTGTTCATCTATTAGAAAAAACCACGTCCCTTTTTTGTTCTTAACTTAACTATCTTTTTTAAATAGTAATTAAGGATATTTTGGATACAAAATGAGGTTTTTGTAATATTTTCTTAAACATAGATGGAAATTTTTGTCAAATATTCAAAAAAAAAAAATCGATAGTCTTTGTAATTTTATAATACCTCAAGAGAGTTATTGTAATTTATCTCTCTTTCTTTTTTTTCTTTTTTTCTTTTCTTTTTTTTTTTATTACCAACACCTAAGATGCATGGTATGCCATTTTTTCCCCTTTTTCTTGTTGCTATTGAATTATTTTTTAATTTAGTTTATTTTATTATTCATAATGCTTAAGACTACTCCAAACAATAATATTAGATTTATTAATAGTTTAACGTAAGGGGTTCATCTAGAGGTTAAGAAAGTAGGGTTATCTTCCTTAACCCTTTGAATTCAAATCTTGAGACAATGACTAAATTTCTCTCAATTCACTATACCAACGTAAAAGACACGTCCTTAATATCGTTAAAAAAAGAAAATTTAATCTCAGTTACTTTTCAAACCGATCTGAAAATAATTATCATCGAATCAAAAAAGAAAGAAAAAAATTATTTGCAGTATATTGTTGATAACGCAGAGAGCTCTAAAATCCTAAAATATGAATTAGTTTACAAGAGATGTATATAAATTTGAATACAATGTGCTCAGTATTCTAAAGGTTTATTCGCAGTCTCAACTTATTATTATTATTATTATTATTTATTACTGTAATAGGACCTGTTTGTTTCTAATGTGAGTTTTCTTTTTTACTTATTTTTCTTGCTCTTCTTTCTTTTTTCTTTTTTCTTTTTTCTTTTTGTTTTTATAATATTTTAAAGTAAGATAGATTCTATTTATATTATATATAGTGTTTTTTTTTAAGTAATACTAGAAATATTTAAAAATTTCTTAAATCATGCGGCAGTTTGTGAATTTTTATTTTTTCATTATTTCATCTTATGATTGGATTATATTATTGAATATGATAAGATTCACAATTCATAATTTGAAAAAAATTTCTCTAGCACTCCTAACATTACTTTTTAAGTTTATTTTGAAAAAACTTCAGAAAAAATCATAAGAAAACAATAATAAATGACTCAATATGTCTTTATTAATCGGCCAAGACTTCAGTATTTATTTATTTATAATTGATTTTATTATATTATTATATAATTAAAAAAAAAAAGCTTAAACGCAACCAGTACGGTATTTACGCATTATTTCGAGACATCACAGCTAATTCTCCATGATTTAGGACTAGTCATGTCAAAACACATTAGGATATAGAGGCCCACTGAGTTGCTTAGTCATTTTTGACAACCTTGGACTCCTGTTAGCCCAGGAAAAGTTTTTCTGCTTTCATGATGAGAAAGAGTGGAGCTTTGAAACTCTGTCTAATTTTCATGCTTTACTGAGACAAACTGACCTAAAGGATTCAGCGCTCTGAACATTTGGATTGATAATTGTCTGTGTATGTTGAGAAACAACACTTGGTACTTTTAATCAAATTAGATTTTTGTACATTTGGAATTATCATGTGCTTACACACACGTCACATTTGTTACAACTTCAAGAAGAAAACTACCAGGATTTTTTTTTTAATCTATTTCTGTCTCATAATCCAACTTAAATCACACACACACACGACTTTCAAGTGGTGAGTATAAAATATAAAGGGTTTTGTTCATATATAATTCTTTTATTTTTTAAAATTATTTTGATTGATTCATTGTATATTAATTGAATATCTCTACATTTTATGTTATTTTGTTTTCAGTCTTACGATATATCGTGCTAGTTGTGAGCTAACGTAATATGTTCATTTCTAAAAGTATAACACATGTCATCTCAATAAAGAGATTTAATTAAAATAATTTAAAGACTACGAGACTTTGATCAAAATAATTCAAAAAATACAAAAATTAAAATATTTTTTTCTTTTTTAATCTAAATATTATTGTGTTTTTAAGACTTCATCTTAAATACTGCAAAACATATCAAATGTGAAATTTTATCACAGTAAAACTATAAAGAGTGTTTTTTAAAAAATATATATTATAATAATTTAACGATAATAAAATACATACAAAATAAACTTAACATGCAATTAAAATTAAAAAAATATATAAATATATTTATTAAAATTAATAAAACAATAGTAATGTTGATTAATAACTAATTATCTATTTTAAAAAAGTGATGCGATATCAAGTTTATATATATATATATATATATATATATAGAAAACAATCCTTTTGTTTATTTTGAATTGATCAAATATTTAGAATTTCTTATTTTCCATGTAAGATTAGATTAAGTAACTAGGAGTATGTAACCGAACTTATTGCACATCACAATATTTTTATTTTAATAATTACATATTAAGTTCTATTTTTTTCTTTTTTTTTCTTTGAATTATTTTAGTTGAATCTCTCTATTAGCGTTTCACGTATCGCACGTGTCATGCTTTCAAGAATAAATACATCACATTATTCACAGCTAACAGCATTATAATAAAGAGATGAAAAAAAAATAATGAAGAATATATATATATATATAAAGGTAAAGGTAAATGTAAAGAATCTCAACTAAAACAATTTAAAAAATAAATGTACCGTATATAGACAAAACCCAAAATATAAATATATTACGTTGGATTTTTGAAACTTTTTTTTAGTTTTTAGGGTTGTTTTTTTTTTTTTTTTTTTTTTTTTTTTTTTTGGAGGATTTCACCTGGAGATTAATTAGAGCTTGGACCATGGAATGCAAGAAATAACCAATCTTCTGTAGGGAAAAAAAAGATTTTTATATTAACTAACAGGTATATAATTCTTCGTTTTTATAATAATTTCATTCTTTATCTAGGAAAAAAAATTTGTATTAACGAACTGGTATGTAATTCTTTGTAATTCTATAATAATTTCATTCTTTGTGTAAGCGTAAGTGTTAATTTCTACTGTCTTTTCCTTAATTTTTTAATTTCACCCACATTTTTGTAACAAATTAATTCAGCAGAAATGTTGTGACGTCAGATTATATGCACAACAAACAAATTAGAATTCATCTTAATTAATAGACTGGGTTTCTCAATTAATCTTCACCGTATAGATTTTTGTGGCCACTGATGGACAATCCTACCAGTCAGTCCTTCTCAACCACGATATAAATCCACAAAATGAAAAGGCAGATTCATTTGATGCGTTTGCTGGGACAACCCCTCACATCCACTTCTAGCCTAACTTTATCCGAAGTCTTCTACTTTGGGAAGAAACCTTGTCGCCAAGAAATTTCCACCCCCTACGTTTCTTATCTAGTAAGAAATGAAGGGTCGATGGCTCAGTTCTTGATCCCTTTTGGTCGCTTTGGACGGTAACATGAACATGTAGCTTTCACATCAACGCACATAATCGAGGCTCCTTTCTCACCATACATTTTTTATATTAACTGACGCATCTTAATAGCTTGAATTTAAAATGTTTTAATTCCGATCCTGGTGTTAACCAAACAAAAAGGCCAGACTAATCTAATTAATAACTCAGACCACCTGTCTGTGGATTAACCTGATTGATGACCGAGTTTATTCAAGATTTGAAAAGATTCCAAGGAAAAAAATGTGAAAGCATCAGTTATGACCTGACGACAGGAGGACGATTTTGCTGCTAAAAAAAAAAGAAACAAAATTATTAATCTGATCCTCTAAAATAAACCACACATGTTTCTGAAAGTGAAAATATGAAGTGGTCGTCTCATGAAGATGCAATAAACTTCCCAAAAAATTGAAAAGCTGGTCAGAGGATCCAAGGGTGCTCTCGCTAATAAAAAAAAAATTGGATTGTTTGATTGATTTTTAATTCATTTGATACAAACATCTAAGCCTGCTTAGGCTCACAATACGATCACAGATCATCAATTGGAGAAATTAAGTGAAAGATTAAAACAACTCTACATAACCATAGGTGGCTACTGGCCCATAGGTTAAAAAAAAAAGGAGTAGGGTGGTTTTCGCTTTAAGACAGTTTTAAACGGACAGTAAATACAACTGAGCACAATAAATGAGAGAGTAAATATATGAGGAAGCAAGCAAGCAACTACAAGTTTCTTCATTGTTTCCATCTTTCATTGCCCTACCAATCAGCTTTTTATGTTGCCAAAGAGCTAATGGAGATTCTCTCGTATAGCCCTGGATGTATAAATTAACAAAAACCACAAAAAAAATGAAAGTTTCCAAGTTTCAAAAAACTACACTACTACTGCTCCCATTCAGTTCAGTTACCAATAAAAAATAAACAAAAGTCGTATTGAAACTAGTTAATGAAGTACTACTAGTAATTAACAATTAATTAACTATGTGAACCCCAACCTTCTCTTCTTCCAGAAACTCATCTCTGGATCAAGCATCTCTCCGGTTCTTGCCGGTTCAGATTTACACCTTGTAAGTATCGAAGGCCGTACCATCCCTGTTTTTGACTCTTCGATATTCGTAGGATTTGCATTTCTCTCTCTGCTTGAAGTAATTGAGACTTCAAATTCTTTGAAAAGACCAATCTTTACTTCAGTGTCTGGATCCAAACTTGATTCTTGATCGGATTCTTTAGAAACAGACTCTCTTTTCCATGTGTGACTTCCATTTTCTCTGTTTTCTTGCTGCGTACTACTCTGTTTCTGCTCTGTTTCTTCACTCTCCGAAGGTGACCCCCAAAATCTACAAGCTAAAGAAGAAGATCTGTACGGTGCAGATCTGCATCTAGTCAATAGCAAAGCATTCCTCGGTGGTGTAATAGCTGTAGAGGCATAAACTTTAGGTTCCATTTCTTCTTCTTCGCTTTCTTGCTCAAAATCTTCATTTCTGACACTGTATTTCGGTTCAGTTTTTGAAGAATTACAGTCCTCACGAATTTTGGTTTTTTTCTTGATACCAACACGAAAGAAATGTACCCATTTGGGCCAAGAAGGTATAAAAGGCTTGAGTTTGAGTTTCCTCCTATTGAAATGGTGGTGACAAAGTAAGGTTGTTTGGATCCATTTGCACCTGCGTTTTTTAGGTTTTCCAGGTCGAGTAATGGCTTGTTTGGACCGCCTGACCCGGACTTGACCCATGCAGGTGACTTTTGGAGAGGAAGGTTCCTGAGTTTCAATAGTTGTATTCTTCTTTCTGACAAACATTGGACTTGAACGTGACCTTCCTCTACTTCTACTACCAACATTGCTTCTCAAGAACCTCATCAATGGCGGTGGGTAGTACTTATCTGTCCGACTCGGACTCGATATGGGTTTTGTAGACAACTTCATGTTTTCTAACAAAACCCACGCTTGTTGTGTTTGCACGTGTTTAATTTTGTCTGGTTGTAGAGTTCTTAGGGTTTGTCTGGTTTTGCCGTGTTTTTTGAGGTGGAGAAGAAGATATGTGTAGGGTGTTGTTGCGTTGGGTTGGTTATTCAAGCTGAGGAATGAGGAGTAGCAGAGAAGATGTGGAGTTTTACCCCCGGTTTTTTTCAGTTTTTGTGTTGGGGGTTTTCGCTTATTTATTTTATTTTATCTCTGCACGGATGGGTGAATCTGACTGTAAGATTTTTTATATTTCGAGGTTGTATGGCTTGTGTTTGGTTTTGGCCTTCGAGGTCAGCCACTTATTAGTTAATACTGCTACTTTTATTTTATTTATTTATTTTATTACTATCACTATTAATTATTAACACAGTGGCATGTGCATCTGAGGGGTTAAAAAGTTGGTGCAGTGATGACAGCCGTTGGATGTTGGAAATTAGCAAGGCTAAATATAAGTGGTTTTTTATGTTGTTCGGATTGTGGACAGGGGAAGGTGGAGCGAGTGAGTGACAGAGTGAGGAAAAGAGGGGAGGGTAGTCCACTCAGGCACTCCAATTTCCATGATTGGACTCTGATTGATCTTCAATATTGAGACGTTAATTTAATTAATTCATTTATTTATTACCCAAACAATCTCATTCTTTTATTACTTTAATCAAGTAGCATTCTAGAAGAGGGCCGTTACAAATTATTGTAGCTTCAAGCCTTCAACCTGGATTATTGATTGATCCTAACAATTCACTTGACAAACATTCTTGCTTGAGCTTAAAATTTGATCAAATAAATCTCCAAACTCCTTATTTCTTAGAAAATTTTGATTACTGGCTGTACATAAATTATATTTTTGTGGCTAGAATAAACCCATGACTATGTGTGATTCTCCTTGTGCTTCACACGTGATGGTGATACTTAATATCTGCTCCTCCCTCAACTCTCACCAAATGCTAAACCAGTAGATTGTCCAACTTTTCTCAAACCGCACGCCGCGCTGATGTTTGATCACGGGTTGTTCGAGCAGATAAAACATTCCCTCTTAAATGCTAAGGAAGCAGAGGCTGCTGCATTCCACTGAAGAAGGCTCTCTCTCTCTCTCTCATGCCAAGTACTAGAGGGGGTTAGAAGTTGCAACAGGAATGTGAACCCTGATTTTGCTAAATTAAGACGTGAGGATTAGTTATTGGCACTCCATTGCTATTCGTTCTTTTTCGGTGATTAATATCACTGTTAAGAAACGAAATGGTCGGCACTCCTCTTGTCAATTATTTTAGTGAAGCATCTCCTTAGTATCTGCCGTAAAATTTGTTTCTCTGGTTTTCGTAATCATTTTATGTTGGAATTCATGTCTGTAGGCTTTTGAAATCCTGGGGTCTTTCAACTTGTCAGTGCTTTCCATGTTTCAACTACCACCATTTCAATAAAGCGGATGGCCACACAGTGAAAAGTATGGTGCTTTTTATCATGAAAATTCACAGGTTGCAAAGGTGCTGTCCAAAAACATGTAATGGGGTCATCTCCCCATCTTCATAGGATCAGCAAAGGCAAATCTATCGACACCCCAAAATGGCTCCACCTATCTATAATGTCTCTGCACAAGTAACCACCGTCGTACCATGAATTTATCTAATCTTCTATTTTTCCAGTTTTCTCCTCAGAGCACCCAAATAAAAACAAGAGCTTTAAGTGTAATGAAGTAATTCGGCAATGTAAAATAGGCTATCATCAATGATCTTTCCCAAGAAGAGAACAAAAAGTCAACTGAAGTTTCAGGTTTCCTTTCTGGATTTAAAAAAAAAGGGAGAGCAGTGCCCAACAAGCTGGCAGACTAGCAAAAGTCAATCAGGAATCACTTATTATTAGTGAATGGGGTTGATTTATAAACACTAGGCATAAAATTAAAGATATCATGATGAAAGAAAAATAAATAAATGAACAAACTTTCAGAAAGCAAGTTAAGAAAAAAAAATCCTACAAAATGTACTGCATTCCCATACACCACTAGTACAATGTGGAGGAAGTCATGTTAATTACAGGGGAGGAAAACAAATGTATGGAGAACCCTAGGTTTGATTTATGTGGACCACCTATAGCACTAAATCAGACGGCATCCTATGATTGTTATTAAATTACCTTCTTACCCACGTACAGATAAAGTATCATGTTAAATACTAACCACACTACGCAGAGTGATTAGGTCTTTTCATCCCAACCACTGATTTTCTTGACTCCGATATCACCTGTCTATTTTTATCCCATTCAGCGTTGCATTCTAGCTCATATTGCACCTCAACTTCATCATCATCTGAGAAACAATGCTAAGCTTCAGAGGGAGCAGCCAAAATTTCACATGACAATGCTAATAATAAATAACAAGGGTAAATAATCGGACTATATGTTGTTAGAGAAAATAATAAATGAGGTGAGAAAACTTGCCTGATCGAGTTGAAAGAGAGAATTCAGTCAGGCGTCTTACACAGTCCTTCAGTGCACGAAGTTCAGCTTCCTTCTCATGAAGTTGGGATTGTGCCGAATGTAGTTCGGATTCCAGCCCCGTGATTTGGTTTTCTTGTTGTTCAATAAGCAAATGGCAAAGTTTATTATCCAATTCAGATGGCAAAACCTCGTGGCATTTGTAAGAAACAGCATTCTGCCCCTCCGGTTCACAAAATCCTTCAGATGAAACCTCGGCCTGCACAACAGTTTTTCCATAAAAATAAGACAATTCTTATCTTATAGAACGATATCAAGAATGAGAGTACCATGTCTGTTACATGATGGAGGACCAGCCAAGGATCATGAAGTCCTCAACAATTATATGATATCCTCAGTAGGAATTTAATTTCAGAAATAAGATTCATGTCCTTGAAATTAATTATGTTTTGAGGGTTGATCAATGAATATTGATCACTGAGTTCTAGTTCCCTTGTCCTCTCTAATTCTTCGGGTTTCTCTCATTTCTCTTCCTCTATTTCTATCCTCTTCTTCCCTCTAATCCAACCTAATTCGTCTCTCCAGGTCCTACGTCAGTATACCTCTAACTTTTGCATGTACTGAGGTTCTGTTGTCTTACATGAATCAGGTACGCAAACTGTTTACCCCAACTATTGTGGCATATGACTGGGCAGTACTAGCATGAAAAGACTTCCAGAATCCACTAGCATATGGATAACTTTTCCACCATAGAAATTTAATAAATGAACTTTTCTAATGATAGCACAACCCAGTGCCAAAAGAATGACAAACGCTGGACTTGTGCCGAAACTTTTAACTACCTAATAATATACAAGTTCCAAGTAAAGGATAGCATAGCCGTAGCAAATGAAAAAAATCTAGCATTTCGTAGTAACAAGTTATTCTCGAGTTAGCAAGCATTACTGGAAGCATACTTAATAATGATTTCCATTTTCATTCTATCATCTCTCATTGTCAACCAGGATTAAAATGGAATACATAAATTATGCTAATGGCCTATAAATATTTAGGCGGATTGCCTAAATTAAAGAAAAAACCTTTATATAATTGGCAAAAGGATATATGAAATTCACACGCAAATCTATCTTAAGTCTCAAAGGTAGCTTCAGATAACTAACAAGGCACACATTCAAGCATTGGGTAAATTTACATAAAGGATAGAAGAGGTACTTGAATAACTCACCTTGCCAAAATTTAGCCTAGTTACTTCATGGCCAGAAGTTTCGGTGCTGGACCAGGGAAGTTTTTGCAGTTCAGACTCAAGCTCTGCTTCCAGTTGATCCATTTCAAGCACCGCTGACACTGGCTCTGGCTCTTCAGTAAGAACACTACTCGGGTATTCAACATCATCGACCATGGGAAGCCCACAAATTTTCATATCATTGGGGTCTCTACACCCCATGATTGTTCTATTAACCATTAGTTGCATTTGCTCGGTACCACTATTTTTTGAGCTTGTAGCAACTTGTGTTGATTTTCTTTTATTAAGTTCAGTTCTTAATTCCTGAACTACTTTTGAAGTCTCATCCATGGCAGTGCTCAGCTTAAATATCTCAGCTTTCCCAGCAGACATCACGTACATGATTCCAACACCAAGTCCCCAACCAAACAAAGAGCTCTCTGTACATTATACGATGTAAATTGGCATATCACCATCATTGTTCCATAATGAAGCTGAACATATTCAAGCAAAGACTTCAAAAAAAAAAATTACTTTCATATTATGTGAACCAACAAAATAAGCACAGATGCAAGTCCACTTGAAAATGGGGACAATTTCTCAGAGAACATAAAATGGTTTACAGCCATTAGTTGTCTGTTTGTAGAAATTGTAAGACATCAAAACCAACTTTAAAAATTTTGTTACTGACTAGATGTTACTACAAGACGTTACAGATGTGATTGATACACCAAGTTCCATATAAAGCAGACAATATAACATGCAATTGATGGATCTGCAGGTATCATTCTTATAAAAATGTTCTTTAAGAACCCAAGAAGATAGTAAAGTTAGGAGTCATGATGCAGATAAAGTAGGAACAAGGCTAACCAGTTATATTTTACTACCATAATCCTTACCCTAAACATTATGTTCTCCAGGTAGACAGGATATGTGCATTTGAGAATAAGTTTTCCTCATGAAGTCAAAAAAGGGGCCCAAAGTGGCAATAATTGCTGCAGTTTTCTTTTCATCAACATATCAATCAATTTTTAACATTTTAACAACTTTAACATGATTTAACAAATGATTTGAACTTTTTTTGTTAAATAATTAAAAGGCTTGATTTATAAATCTAAATTAGCATAGCCCAGTCATTCTCTCTATAAGTTAACCGACCCCATGAGCAATCACAGTTCCTTTAAAAATAGATGCATTCGTAATCACCTTTCTAATCTTAGAAGTCAAGAATCTCTTTATGCTTAAATTTTTCAGAACATCTACCGGCAACATCTCTGCCTTGAAATTTATTTATAACAGAATGTCATCTAATGTATTACAAAACAGCAATGATCAATTCAAAAGAAAAAAAAGCCACAAAAAATTGAAATTCATAAACCCAGCTTTATCCATAATACTTTCAACTTTTTTCATTTAATTCAATCAAATTTCAACTAATTAAATTTATAGTAAAACTCTGTCTTTGGTTATATATATATAAACCCTAACTCTACACAGCTAATAGGACTTCTTTTGATAGTTAATTAAACACCAAACATTCATGTCTTCTTTTTAATTTCTCACTTTTCCAGCAACAGAAAAACAAAACAGTATTGATTTAAAAAAAAAAAAAAAACTGACCTTTAGAAGAACAAGATCCACATTTGGCAGTCACGAATTTACCAGTCCTTCTCTTCTTCAAGCAAGCACACAACTTACCTCCTCTAATCACTTCCAAACCACCAGATCCCTTAACATTCTTAGTCCCAAACTTCAACCTACGACACGCAACCCCGGATTTCTCCTTCCAATTCGTACTTTTCTTCTTCTTTCCTCTGGAACCACCACCAGAACTCGAAAACCTAAAAATCCCTTCCTGATCACAATTACTCTCATCTCCGTGACACTCTTTTGTCACCAGCGGAGAGTCAAATGCAGCGGATTCTTGTAGGTTTTCCTCTTCCTCGCATTTTTCAGTTTGTGAATGATAATTGGTAAAGATGTTTTTGGCTATAAAACCAGTGGATCCTGCCACTGCTGCGGTTAATAGGAGTTGCCACATTTCTTAATGGAGATTAAAAAAAAAAAAAAACAGAGAGAGAGAATCAATGAAATCTCGTTTAGATCGAAAGAAAGAGAGAGAAGTAATTACTAGGAATTGGTGTGGGCGTAGTGCAATTAAGAGAGATGAGAAAGGAGAGGTGGTGTTAGGTGGAGGAGAGCAGTGCGCCTGGTTGCTGCCAAGTTTGGTTTGGTCACAGCTCAGATACTTCCCGCTTGTTTCTGTATTTGGATTTCTAATTTGGAAATGAAATGATGGGCTCTCACTCTCTGCAGGCTCGAGCCCATCGCAACAAATCCAATCCATTGGCTGCCTAATATTTGTGCGTGGATTAACAAATTACGTAGATTCTTTCTATATATGCCATGCCATCACTCTCTCTTTATTGATGATATATAGAAAATTATCGCTGCTACATGAATGAATATATATATATATATATATATATATATATATATATATAATTATTATTTTTTTTGGATAGGTATTATTTCCTTAATCGTAATTGGAATTATCCGGCATTTTGTGTGAATGCAAGAATTGGATTAGTTGGATTCTAAGCTTTTAACCTCATATAATATATATGATCTATGGGTAACTAATTTTTCACGATACCATTAATTATATGTTTACTTCCTTAGGAGAACCCTCCCGAGTCCCGTTTTGAATCATTACAAATCAATGCACTCGTAAGATGATGGTAGATCAACCGTCTACGCACCCATATGCATTTTATGCATGACAAGAATTCGAGTAGTAGTGATTTTTCACGTTTTCGCGACCTCGGTTCCTCTAATTACAACTAACAAGCCATTCCTCATGAGAACTCTTGTTAGCATCTTTCTTTTGGGACATAGCGAGTTAAAATGAAGAAATTTAGATCCATTCTTGTTTTCTTAAGAGTACGATCACTTATGTTACAAATCTAACTATTGATTTTGACTTCAAATATCTGAATTAGGTGAGAAAAATAAAACGATAACGAGTTAAGTTGTTATTGATTTTCTCATGCACTAGATCGTATCCATCAAATTTGAATTTAATGATGAGAAATCATATTGTTGCATGTGTATTTTTTTATCATTTCAATGGTCTGTAAATCTTTTTTTATACACGTTTCTATTATCATTACTACAATTAATCCTAATGTTATGTTTTTTATGCATAACAAAATAGTAGATGAGAGATTACATCTCTTTCATTGTTACAATTTAATCCTAAGAACTTGTTTTTAACTTACATGAACAAAATGTCAATCAAACCTATGATATTGATTTGATTTGATTGATTTTGATTTACTCTATTGTCCTTTCTAAAAATGTTGATGAGTATCACTAAGAGTTTAGATCGATACGAAAAAAAAGTGATTGTACCAATCCTTTAGTGAAAATATTTGTAAGCCGATTCAAACAAATTTGACATATATTTAACCATTTATAACTAGATCACAAACCAAGTAATAATTTATCCGAACATGCTTATTCTATGCATACATGACGGGATTGGTAGGCATATAAGTTGCTATAGCCACTAAGATTATCAATGTATAATTATATGAGATATTATTGGAATGTAGAGGTCATGAAGTATGTAGGAGAGCCATAATCTTTTTCAAACTTTGATAGCTAAAGTTTTATATTTTGTCTCCGAACTAGAACTTGAAATTGTAGCTTGTTTCTTTGATCCCCAAGATAAAATATTTGATACAAAAAAAGTATAAAAATATGTTGATGGATGACATGTATTGGGGCATCCAACCCAATCTACATCACTTTAAGCAATAATCAAAGTTAATGGGCCTAGGGAATGAAGATATCAACCCTAAAGGTCCCTTTGATGTACCACAATACGCATTTGATAGCTTGAACATGTTCAATAATGGGTGTATGCATGAATTGGCACACTTGATTGATAGAATAACTTAAGTATGGGTGTGTAAGAGTTAAATATAAAAGAGAGCAAATAATTTGATGATATTTTGTAGGATCTAATAGTGGAGTGTCATTATGAAAAAATATTTTTTATTCCGAATCCGTTGTTTTATTGCATGGCTTGTAACCAAGCATGCCACTACTTTGAAGTAGATCAAGACAATATTTTTTGAGAGAGGAGGAGAACTTTGGAGTCACGCTTAGCTTTAATACCGGAAACAAATTCAAGTCACCCAAATCTATCATGGTAAATTCCTTAGAAGTTGAACAATAAAAGACTCTAAAAGATATGCATCATCACATGTAAGAATAATATCATCAACATATAATAATAGAATAATGATGCTAGCAAAAGAGTGGAGAATAAATATAGAGTTGTTGAGTTGGTTATGATGAAATTGTTACTGAAGAAGAAAATTTCTAAAGCATTGAAACCAAACGTGAAGAACTTGACAAAGGCCATATAAAGCTTCTTAAAGAAGACATACATGATTAGGATAAGATGTACTGAAAAATCCTTTAGGTTGTTGCATGTAAACTTCTTAATTTAGAAGGCCATAAAGGAAGGTATTTTTTACATCAAGTTGTTGAATAGGCCAATTTCTTGATATGACAACAATCAAAGTAGTCCATATAGTTATAGATTTCACAACTAGACTAAAAGTGTCATGAAAGTCTATACAAGATTATTGGTTAAAGCTCGTAACAACTAAACAAGTCTTGTAACATTTAATTAAACTATCATTGTCATTTTATACAATATGTCTATTTGTAACCAATAATATTCATGTATTATTGATGAGATATTAGGTTCATATATTGTTATGGATAAGTGCTTGGAACTCATCCTTCATAACTGCTATCCATCTAGGATCTTTAAATACAATTGTGAATGAAGCTGATTCTATAAGTACATATGTTAAAATAGTTGTTGTTAAATCATGAGATATAGAATGCTTAATTTGTGAGAAAAATACCTTAAGTTTTTTCTTTTTTTTTTGTTCCATCTCGTGTTCAACCATAAAATGTCGAGTTGCTAGTTGTTGTGTAGTTGAAGAAGCCTCTATTGTTAAAGGAAATGGATAAGAAGTCTCATTTATTATAATAAATAGAAGCAATTGTAACTTCATCATTAGCAATATTTGAGTAAGTATTAAGATTCGAATGAGTGATGATGGAAATGTCGATAAATTTAGATAACGTATTAAAACATGGAGGAGGTTCTAAAAAATCAAAAAGGAAAAAAATCTTTATCAAAGATGACATGATGAGAAACATATATTTGACCAAATTTAGAATCTAAAACAATGGTCTTCGTGCTGATTGTTATATCGAAAAAAAAATACAAGACAATGATTTTAGGCCGAGCTTGTCCATTATATAAGGGCGAAGATAAGAAAATGATCGATAGCCAAAAACTCTTATGAATGAATAATCTAATGGAGATTTAAAAAGAGCTTCATAAGGTATTTGTTGTTGAAGGATTGTAGTTGGTAGTCTATTAATCAAATATAAAAAGGTTAAAAATACTTCTAGTCAATACTTCTTTAGCATTATTGCTTCAAATAATATAGCCAATCCTATTTATGTAATTTGTCAATATTTATGCTCGACCATCCTATTTTGCTCGGTTGTGTAACGACAATAGATCCTAAGAATGATACCACATTGACAAAGACTAGTTGCAAATGTCCCTTTAGTTAACTCATGTATACATCACTTTGAAAGTTTTTAACTTGTAAAGAGAATAAAGAGAATATTTTCATCCTTTGTCTTGAACATAATAAAATAACTTAGTGCATCAAATTTTTTTCAAAAAGGATAAACTTATGTGAATTTATTAAAGTCATCAACAAAAATTATGTAATATCAAAAACCATCAATAGAAGTAATGAGAGCAAGACCTTAAATCTCATAGTAAGTGGTAAAGTTGATAAACAACTAAAATTTCTAAAAGGTAGCTTATGACTCTTGGCCATCCGATAAAATTCACAAACTTTGTTCGTATGTATGAAATTTGATAATTTTTAATGAAGTACACGATACGAGAGATATCCTAATCCGTGATGCCATGTCTTTAAAGAAGCACGAGCTCTAAAAATGCAATTTGATGTCTTATTTGAGAAGTTTGAAGATTTTGTGATGTTAGCAATGAATATAGATCGCTCTTGAATGGTCTTACTATCAATATTATTTCGGTAAAAAGTTCCTAACTATACATAGTTCAAGGAGAAAATTTCACATAGCAAAAATTATCTCTTGTTAGCTTGGAAATAAATAATAAATTTGAGTGAAACATGGTTTTCATGACTCTCGGAATGGGCCATGATTGCCATGAGATTCGAGGAAACTATAAGACCTATCTCGACTCAAGCAAGCCTTAAATATCTAAACTATAATTATCAAACCTATAGTAAATCAAATATTATTTTCAATTCACAATATCATAACTCGATAGTCAATACTTTATAATTCCAAGCATAAACTAAAATTTTATAATATTCATATATTTTTCAAAAGAAATATCCTTAATCAATATTCTAACACAAATCTCATCCAATTCACAATATCACAACTTAATTAGTCATTATTTCTTAATTTCATCTTAAACAACATTTCCATTATAATTATACATATCCAAACATAATAATCATAATCAACCCAACATAACTCTCATAAATATAGCAATAGAGCTTTTAGAGTCTACAACAATATCAAAATATAAGTTTCAAATATTACAAATAAATAAGCTCACACAATCAATGTGTCGACTTCAAAACAACAGACTTTATAGAAGTCAAAAGAAAATCTCACAATCCTTGTAAAACTAAAATAGTATGATGTGAGCAAAAAGATATTATATAATATAAATAAGAGAAAAAAATAGATAAATGGGCAATAATTCAAAATCTGCATAATATGGAATTTATATTTCTCAAAATCAAATACATATTTCAAATATTAAATCGTATCTCATATTTTCAAGTTGTTCAAATTCATAATCAAAATCTCATATCAAAATATATAAATCAAATCAAATCATATCAAGTATAAAAATATACACTTAGG